TTGAAATTCCCCCTGCAAAACCGTGCAGAAAACATACGATGTTATTTTTTTCTTAGCTTTTCCCGTAAGCCTTCGTGGTTTCTCACCCATAAGTTATTCGCCTTGTGGCGAGCTCAAACTGAAAGAAAATCAAAAGTGCACACTAAACGTCATTTGCGCTTCTGCAAGCTAAAGGTTCATTCATAATTAGCGCCTACTTATTAGGGCGCGGCCAGTACAGCGCCCTCCACGTTCTCTCCCAGGCTACTGTGAGCGAACAGCGTTTCCAGTGAGGAGGGCGAGTGTTGTGGTAGCGGAGCGCGTTTATTTTTTCTTTCTTTCTTTCCGTGAAACACGTTGCGGTTTGCTGAATTAGCGCGTGGTCCTCCGGGCTGAAACTTCAATGTTGTGCTGTTGTGATGCACTTTAACGTTGGCAAACACAATATGAAGGAGGGGAATGACTTGTCAAGGTGTGGTAACCGCTTATTATGGTTTCTGCGATATGCAGCATCTGGCCCTAAACAGGCTCATTTAAGCTGGCGAGGTTGGAAGGTTTTCTTTTTTAAAAATTCATGTATAGTATACACGCTCTGCATAATAATAAATCAAAAAGAAATATGTGGTAATGATGATGATGGTTATATATTGCTATATAACACCTGTACTTCCTGGGTTGAACCAAACATTACTGGAAATTGCATGCTATGAAATCCTTAAGTCCATAACACTGAGAGCATTAGTGCCTTCTGTAAAATTCTGTTGCATATACTAAACTTCAATACACGCTTCTAATATAAAATCTGTAATATAAACGCTACTCTATGCAATAATATACTTTCAAAAAACATACAAAATCCTATATGATATCCTTACAAATTCTGCTATGGTTTGAAATTTTATTTGTATTACATCGGGAGGGCAATCTTATCCTCAAAGGCCCTGTGTGTATGCAGGTTTTTTGGATAACCTTTAGGTCAGCTGTTCAAATCCAGGTGTGAGGACTCTTCAGCCAATCAGCCTTCTAATTAGTAATCTGATTATGGAGTTGCAGCAAAAACCCGCAAAGCCAACGGCCCTTTCTGGGTAAGACCCCCCACCCCCTGTCTTACATGGCTGAAGGCAATAGTCACTGCTATATTTGAAGCAACTTTAATTTAAATAGGCCTAGTCAAGTTTGCAAAGCTAACTGGCCACTAGCAGTAATGTTTCAAAACGTTAGATCAAAAAAATACTGTTGGACAAATACAATTACTGAAAAAAATATTTTGGACAAAAAAAAAAAAGACCAAAACATTTATTGAAATTTGTAAATAAATGGAGTTGCATCTGTGACTTTTGAAAAGTTTCAATTGAATATGTTTTGATATAATAATTGGTATAAACAGCCAATGACCTAAAGTCAGGCTTCCTCATCATATGTTGCAGTATTGAGAAGCAGAACTCATTCAGTGCTCAGATAATCCAACAAATAACTTTCATTACATTTTCAAAGCTCACTAAGTCCAGAGGAATTTTCTCAAAATCGTATTCTGTGGATTGAGTCAGTTTTGTAAATTTGCTCTTAATTGCTTTTTGTTATAAATTCTAAGAGACCTAATATTTAGAATTAAACTTAAATAATAAATGTATTGCAACTTTTTATACATAGGAAAAAATGCATACATGTAATAGATGATGTAATCATTTGACTTACAGCTATTGATATGTGTCATATCTACAGAATACAGTACATCATACAGTGTACTGGAAGGTGTATGCTCATCACCTACTCAAGGGTGACATCTTAAGGCTGTTGTGCAGTATTTGGAAGCAGCTTCAATGGGCTAAACTAAAAACATTTTCTGAAAAAAAAGCATGAGTATGCATCTGTTCATTCCAAATACCACTACAATTGCAACCAAGAGATAAAAACATTTTTTAATTACAGTCTGAAGTAGACTCAGGTATGGCTCCATTTCCTGAAACATTTAAACACTGTTTTGCAGTTGTCAAAGTCAGGTTAAGGAATGTTTAATGAGCTTCACAATAGGGTAGTGTTTAAACAGCCCGTCATAGCCTATAATATTTACATAAGTACTATTTTTGTCAGGAAATGGTTGGTTAACTGATATAGATTAATACACCTTGATCAGTGGCCAACATGGCCTATGTAATATGCTGTATATCAGTGTTTCCCAATCCGGTCCTCTGGGACCCACAGTTGTTCCAGGTTTTTGCTCCCCCCAAGGTCCCTGCCAGACATTCCACATTTTTGCTCCCCAGAAGTTGGGAGGGAGCAAATACATAGACTGTTTGTGGGTCCCCAAGGACCGGATTGATAAACACTGCTATATATGGTAAAAGCCATAGAGCAATTATTAGCCTGTATATGACCGGATCAGTGTAGCCGATGAGCCGTGTAGCTGAAGCATTGCTGATCTGGTGGTAGAGTTCTCACATGCTGTGCAGGAAGTCCAATCCTCAGCTAGCACAGTTTCTCTTTGGGGGCACTGTGTGGCTCTCCAGTTTAGGAAATCCTCTGGCTTGCAAAAAGATGTCACCATTGTACCCCTGAACAAGGCCCTTAAACCGAATCACTCCAGGGGTTGACCCAGCTTTCTCAAAAAATCTACCAATTGTAAAATAACCAGAAAAAATGAATGATGCAGTGTGAAATGCCCTATAAAATATCAATAATGGCTTATTACTTTATATATGATCGTCTATCCATCTTCTATGACCACGTATCCAGGACAGGGTCATGGTGAGCCTAGAATCTATCCTATGATGCATAGCGCACAAAACAGAGGATGCCACGGATGGGATGACAGTCCATTGCAGGCTACACACTTAGACAGTCACACAATAAGGGCAGCATAAACACACCAATTCACCTAAGTACATGTTTCTGGACTGCAGGAAGAAGCCAGAGTGAGCACTGGAGCACTGGAGCAAGAACATGCAATTTAAGAAAGAATCCAGGGTGGGAATCAAACCTCACAACACTGGAGGTTTGAAACTACAGCACTATTCACTGCATCACTTTGATGCCTTTTACATAATCAGAATAAAGCAAACGAAGGGAACAGCGAGCAGCACCCAGTACATGGTATTTTAAATACTCAAAAAATCAAATCAAAAACCTCTTGATTAAATTTTTCCTTTTAAATGCATGTTTTGGATTTATCAAATCTAATAATGTAATATAAGTCGATGTGCTGCAAACTAAAATGGTAATAAGAAAAGATAAATTATATAGCCTGCTGAATTATAAATGCTTATAATTGTTTGACTTCCTGGTCCTGTATACACTTGGTTTTAAAATGCATCAAGGGTGATCGGATCACAAATGTAAACGCCCACCAAGGTGAATTGTGATCCAATCATTCAAACCACTTGCCAAGATGTTCTGGGACACGTTTGATCACAGATTTTTTGTAGTGTAATCGCTAAAGTGTCCTGATGCTTTGCACGGAATGTTAATGATATCTGAGTGCAGGTGGTCCGCTGGACACCTTGGAGATACATGATAGACGCAGGTGTAAATAGCAAGGTGTCAACTTGTGATCTGACTGCCGAAGACGAATTTTAAAACCAAGTGTAAACAGGGCCTCTAATACAATACGTACTAATCCATTTTAAGACTTTTACTTTCACTTTCCTATTTGTGTGAATAATTGACTTTTGCCACTGGAGGGAGTCTGATTCAAACAAATGCACAAAATCTGGAACAATGTAGTAAAACCTTCCATCTTTTCACTTCACTGGTCATAGTTTGTAGTTTTCAGTCAAATGACAAAGGTTATATATTTTTCTTAATTTAAAGTATTTTATTTGTGTCAGTTTGGATATCTCAAATCAGGCAAATCTTAAGTTATTAATCAATTTTGAACAATTTTTATCTCAGATTTAAAGCTACCTTTTATTGTTATAACAACCTCCAATTACCGTCCTGCGTAAACTCTATATGAATTTAGAATATATTAAGTTGTATTGAATTAATTCATGGAACATTAAAAAGGTACCAATAAATAAGATTAAATATGTTTAAAAAAATAAATGATGAAGTACAACAGTAGTCTAATATATTAAACTTAAAGAAATTAAAAAATAAATTATTACTATATATTAAGATACTTTGAAAAAAAATTACTTCATTTGAAAATAGTTTTTGCTACATAATACATCAAGAAACATCTGGATGATGAATATTAGAAATCCATTTAACATATTTCAATTATATCAAATTTGTTTTTAAAAACCATTTTGTATTTAAATAATCAGACATTATTGCATCTATCCATCCATTTATCCATCCATCCATCCATTTCTCCTCTATAACCCCTTATCCAGTGAGCCTGTAGCCAGCAGGGAAGCACAGAGCCTGAGGTGAATGATGCTCTCTGGGATAAGCACTGATGGTACCCCAGGGCCAGCATGATGACTGTGGCCTGGGCCGTTGCCTCCAATGTCGGGGGTTCAAATCCTGCTTCTCTGTTTTTGTGGAGTCTGCATGTTCTCCCTGGATTTGTGGTGGGTATTCTCACAGTCTAATTTTCATCTCTAAATTGTCCATAGAGTATAACTCTGTGTGTGAGGGTGTACTTGTGCCCCGCAACGGAACAGCTTCCTGTCCAGCGTGTACTCCAGCATTCTGCCTTATGCTGCCTGGCATGAGCTCCAGGTCCCCAATGTCCCTGAGGATGATAAGCGCTTAGAAGATAGATGATCACCAAATCCAGCTCAAGATCCGGCTCTGCTGTGTCTTAACCGACGATGGTGTTTGACTTGTTTCGTTGTCATGTTGAGGTAGCTTCCATTTTATAGGGTTTCCCTTGTATCTATTTGTCTCAATAAATATTTTCATAAATAATTGAAAAATACTCTGAAATTGTGCTTTTGACAGAAAATCATTTTGGCAGTTCAGCACCATGTCTGGAAGGAAGTGAATTGTAGAGGGTTGATGTCCTTGGTTTCCAAATGGAGGTTATTGATACGATCAAAGCACCGACTGCATGGTGCAGGCGTTTGTCGCAGCCTGCACCACGCACTGCCACCGATGGTCCTCACTGCCTTTTCCTTCTGGACTTTCCTGTGTGGTGCCTGTAGATGTGTATCCAGACCAGGACGGTCTTAAACTCTCCTATGGCCTTTTTCATTCCGTTTGCCTTAAGCTGCCAAAAAACAACAGGGATGTGACTGGTTGGCATGGGCATGGTTGGCATGGGCTGCATTTGCACTATTTATATGATTAATAGGCTACCCAGTAACCACTTACCATTTGATTACTGGGAACTGCATTTATAAATGCAATATAAATGCAATAAGTGAAGTATTTTTAAAGTACAATGCATGATTAATGTGTGTGTATGTGTGTGTGTGTGTGTGTATGTGTGTGTGTATGTGTATACATACATACATACACACACGCTGCCAGTTAAAAGTTTTTGAGGAAACTGACATGATCTACATTTACGTTACTCACTTAAAATTTACTAAAAATACACTCATTATTCTTTGCTAACAAATAAATTTGAGTACCTTTATTAACAAGAAATTCGAGACATTCTTTCTACAAGGGACATTAAATATTAACTAGTGCATTTTAAGAATTTGACTATGCCATCACCAGTTAATGGGATGTTAGACATAACTGAATTCAGTGAGGATCTTCTGGTTTCTGGGCTATTGACAGAGTAAAGAGTAAGACTGAGCAATGCCGACCTTTCGAGCTGTGCTCCATTATCACAGCAATTATACTGCATAAAATGAACAAAACCATTATTTACCTGATTAAATGTTTGTTTCATTTGATGAATCTTATCTCGGTCTTTTGAGGAGAGGAAACTGCGATGCATTCTCAGCTGCAGTTTAAAACACGTGAAAATAAATCAGACTGAATATTCAAAGTCATTTTCAAATATAATTTAGAATGTGTGCTCGTTCAATTTACAGTGAGTACATTGTTTTGTGGTCACTGCTAACGACTGTTACTTATGACTGTATTGCCATTAATTATTTGTCCTGGCTGGTGTCTTTACCATAATATGAAGGCTAATTAATTGTTACAAAACATACACCTCAGAACACAAAAATGAATACTCACACACTGGTTAACTTCGTTTACCATCCTCGACAGAATAATCTGTATTTTCTCATTGTCCCTGGTGTTCAGTGACTCATTGCTGAACACGTCATTCAAGTAAAAGTTCAACATCTCCTTTATAAGTGATAATCCCTTTGGTTTCTGCAGGGAAAATAAGTGGATTGGTGAATTACATTACAACTCTGTATATGAGAACCGTAAGACATTATGTACCATTGCAAACATTCTTTAAAGTATATAGGTCTATTAATTCATAAAAGTTAAAAGAATTTTTAAAGTCCAAATGTTCTTACCTGCAAAGTACCTGTAAATTTTGGTAGAAGTTTCTTGTGCTTATTGTCATCTCTCTGCAACGAAGGCGAATTTTAATTAAAACAAGAAAAGATGCAATGAATCATCACATGCAAACATTCCAGCAGCCCATGGTATTGATTTTTTACTCACTGGAAGAGAGTTCTTCACATGATGAACAGCTGTTGAGAGCTGTTCAAGCATCTTGTCCGACACGTTGTGCTTGAAGCACTTAACTCCCGGTGATTCCCCGAGGCACTGACTGCACAGCGCCGCGAGCACAGCCACTGACGTCAGCACCACAGTCTGCATCGCCGTAAGTTCTGGTCTTTGCGGTTTTGCGCCCGCCGTCGGATGTACAGAAGATTGCGTTTAGTACAGTGCAGCTCACTATTTCAGCCCTTTAAATACACCCGATCTCTCTCAGGGAAATCACGGCCCCCATAATGACGTTTATCGAAACTTTTAGGTAAACTGATTTTTCCCCATTTTTTTTTTTTTTTTACTTTGCGGTGTCTCACCTGTTGACTATTGCGGTGTGCACTGAAGTGATTGCCTGTACAGTTTTCTGCTACTCTTGCATTTAAATTGGAGCATTACTGTTCATGCGTCCTAAAAACGAGATTTCAATAGTGGTAATTTTTGTAATTATTGCAAGGATACTGAAGCATACTTTTCAGTCATCGATCATAAAAAAATATTGTGATTAAGTGCTCGTCAATTTTGAGAATTTAACTTAATCGAAAAGTAAATGTATTTTACAACATATATGTGTATTATACTAAAAGTGTTTTATTCTTGTTTTTTGTATATGCTATATTGGGCACATCAATAAATACGGTCTGCTAAATATGCCATAATGAATTTAGTGACAAGTCTTGGTGTTTCCTTATGTTATTTGACTGTCTAGTGAAATTATAGCCCTTTTTGGAAAAATAGACACCTATGCTCTTAATAAGTTTTAATAATAATGATTACATTTTACAGATCCCCGTGTGGAGATTCTCTTTTTGCCTCCCATCTTGCCATCTACAGGTACAAGCTCGGTTGCGAAGGGCACCCACCTGTAGCCGTGCCCAGGGCGTCAGGGTCAGCCCCTGTTGTGGTCCTTCTGTGTTCCTTCCCTTTTGGCCAGAAGGTGTTTGCTGGTCATCCCGTTCTTTATGTTACTCTTTGTTCTCCTGTGTTACCTGTCTGGTCATGTGGCTCAATGTGTTGCGCATGTGGTTCTCTGTGTGCCCTTCTGTCCTGTGTTTGAATCCCACCACCCCTGTTTTTGTAATTTGCTCCCTAGTGTTTCATTTGAGTTTCTCTAGTTCTTGTGTCTGATTTTGTAGTTGGTCGTTTTGTTCCTTGTGCCCCTGCTTGTGTCTTTACCTGTTTAATTCCCTAGTGTTGGTTTGTATTGATTGTGTTTGATTTGTATTGAGAAGTTTGTGTGACGTGTGTATTTTGCTCACCTGCCCAGTTTTTGTTATTTAGTCTTTATTTATCCCCTTTAGTTTGTGACCCTCGTGGTCCTTTCGGTTTTGTTGTGTTTGTAGTGTTTTCTGTTTTATTTAATAAACCCCATTTTTTGTTCTCGGAGCCGCCAGTGGGTCGTCCACCCTTTTTGTGCACTATGCCTCGTTCTCGCACCCGAGCCGCCCGGATCCGTGACACAGGGAGCAGGGGGGGTTAAGGGCATTGCTCAAAGGCCCAAGGACGAGCCGAGGCCGGGTCTGAACTGACACACTTCCGATCAGAGGCACAGCCCACTGAGCCACGCACTGCTTAGTTTAGGGAAAATGCTCAGAAATGTGCCTGGGGCTGACTTTCTAATCCTGCGGAAGTGAGGTGAAGGTCTCAGTTTGCATATGCATGCTATAGGTAACCAGGGCACTATTTCAAATGATTCAACATGACACTTGTTCTGACCCAGTTAGTTCACGAATATTGCACTCCTATTCTTCAGTCGTTCTAACCGTATGTATTTGTGATCATGTGATCATTTCACATAAATATGGTCACAAAAGTACTATGTGCGTCAGAGTCACAGTTACTATTCTGCACACTGCACAGAATCAACAGTTTGCTCTTCAGAATGTGGTCACGGCGATCATTATGAGATACAGTGGTGGAGTTTTGTGGAAAATAATCAGACATTTCTCACTGACCATACTCTCGGAAAAAAGGATACCAATTTGTACCTTTGCTTGTCACTGGGGCTGTACCCTCAAGGGTCTTCTAATTGTACCCTTACCTTTTAAGGTACAGAAAAGGACTATGAGGTACATACCCAAGGCACAAACAACTGTAATGAACTTCTAATGGCACAAAAATGTATCAGAGTCCTTTTCTGTAACTTAAATGGTGCAATTACCTACAGCTAAGAGAAGAATTGGCAGATCCTTGAGGGTACAGCATCAGTTTCAAGCAAAGGTACAAATTGGTACCCTTTTTTCCGAGAGTGCACTTATTCAGTGAGGGTTGCTGATTAAGTTACGTTAAATTGAGAGCATCATTGGGTTGATGGAGGAAACCAGAGGACTTTCGAGAGAACCTCAGTGGTGTGAGGCATCAGTACTGCTGGCTGAACAAACATAGCACCCAGAGAAGTACAATTACTACTTTGTTATGGGTAAGAATGGAGTAGGAAATGCTTCTGATATTTTGAGTAAGTGTCAAGGATAGTTTTCAAACAATTTACAAGCCAGGCTTTGGGTTTTCCATCTATAACTATTTCAGCTTTTCCTCATGCTCGCAATTCCTATAAATGTAGTCTGGTAAATTACTTGAGAAAAGAGATATGACACAAACTCATATAGCAGGCAGTACAAATGATTACATTTCATATTGCCATAAATACCCCATCCTCTTAATAATTCATGCTATGAATTATTTACCTGTTTCTTCCTAAATGTAATTTATGATGTGTCTCCAGCATAGTATATAATGCATTTTATTTACTTACATTTTACTTGATATCATTTTATGTGTTTTATTTTTTCTTTTTCCTGATGGACAGTTTATAATGTGAAATACACAGTCAATGTCTGAAAAACTAAGGATATTCTTGCATTATTTGATGGGTTGTCTGTAATACACTAGAATGCATCTCTTCGCAGACATGAGGTTCAATTGTAAAATTAGTTTTCATTAAGAAGAAAGAGTGACTTGAAGTTATTTTTATTTATGAAGTTTTTTTATGCAGCCCTCACCTGGATAAAAGGGAAGTTATTACTTGTTAAAATCATGGTAAACCTTAAAGATGGCATTATAGAGGCTGCATTCAAACGACAACCAAATAAAAGTGGTCTCCTCAGTTCTGATAGTGAACAGATCAATGATACATTATACTTTTGGGCAGACCAAGGTGACACTTCGTCAGGACCCAAACTTTCTACACCCTTGATTGTGTTTTATTAACTCCTGTGACCCTGACAAGCATAAGCTGCTGGAAGATGGATGGATGGATGCATGTTAACTTACATTATTTCATTTTCTTATACTTCTACTCTCTTGGTTGCTCAGTCTGGAGCCATGGCAATTTTATTTCACTGTTGGTGTACCACTACATTCATGAATGTGACAAATAAAATTTTTGAATCTTGAATTTCTCACATCAGGGCATTAAGGTGGTCTTATTACAGACTGCATTTTTTGAAAAGAAAAGATTTGTAACAATATTTCAATTCGAAGTAGTTTTCTTAATATTACTTGGTATGAATCAATTTTCATTCATTACTTGCATCTAGGGTCAGTGATACTGGCAGATAAGGCCTGTGATTTGTAAATCATCTACCTTGATGAGCTGCTTTACAGTTTTTATCAAAGATGCAGTCTAGACTCAAACTCTTGTGGCAGATTTATGCAATGTGCAGATTCATTCGTGATTTATTCAGTGTAAAAAATATATATTACGACGTCAAATGTATAGCCTATAGTTACTGAGCCGGTTCAATGTAAGTACTGTAGCATAAGATGCAAGATGTCCTTGAGACATAATCCCACAAGCTTTGGTTCTGTACTTCAATAAGAAAGCCATTCACTGCGGTTTTTGTTTCTCGTGGTAGCATCACACAAGGTAGGAATGTGCAAATGGAAATAACCACTCAATAAAAAATCTAGTTTCATATTGACCAAAGCAAGACTCTGATAATAACCAGAGATTCTTTTTTGCAGACTTGTGTTTTCTCTTATATGAAAGGAAAGCATGAATGTAGGCTACAACATACTTAATTGCTTGCACTGCATACATGGAAAGGATTGAAAGACTATGATGAGAAACTCAGGGGAAGTGACCTTGAGCATGGCAGTTAGGAATGACTCAGCGCTCCAGAAACAAGTGTTAGCCATTTGCCCTACTGTAGGCTTTCTATAAGGTCATGTGGCTTGATTTCACCCTGTGATGTGAGAGTCTCTGCACCAGCATCATTGTAGAACCTGCTGAAGCCTCTTGAGCACGGATGGGGGGGGGGCATGGATGTGTTTTCCCCAGCCCAGAGTCTACCAACCTGTCAAGGGGAGCCCCCCCCCCCCTGTCAGCAGAATGTACCCATGGTGACATTTTGTTAAGGATTTTATATTAACTCCTGTGATCAGGATGAGCTAGTATAAGATGGATGGATGGATAATACTCAGACTATTAATGATTAAATTCCTCATTTGATTGCATAGATTTCTGTATCTCTTTATTTAGGAACATTGAAATTATCTCTTTTACAAGGATTTCAAGGTCAAGAATGTATTCCAGTTGTATTTAACTCAACAACTGAAAAACAACTAAGCTCCATAACTCAGTCTATCCCATATGAGACTAATTTAAGCCACATCTTTAAGTAAGTCTCTGATATGGGGTATGGAAATGCAATGATTCTTTATTTGCATTTTTGCAAACCCTTCCGCATTGTGGGGGTTAGAGGTGCAAGCCCCCCACAATCTGGAAAAACCAGGTGAAATTTTTTTGGTTTCCTTGGCAAGTGAAGCGAAAAGACATGAGAAATGCGAGATATGAAGATCACTGCGAGATCACTGTGAGATATCACATAAGAGGCTGCTGTTTGGTATCCTCCAAACCAGCACTCTATGTATATTTTATGCATTTATGAGTTACTAAACTTTTTGTGTGTTGTCTGCTCATCTTCATGAGTCGTCTGTGGCTTTCCCAAAATTCCTGAAAAATCCACGTTTAATTTATTGTATCAACCCTGTGATGGAGAAAGTTGTAATGCAGAAAAGTTGTCTGTTTATCGGAACGGTTTGGTTTTCACATATCCTATCTTGTTTTTTGCATTTGTGTCCCATCTTGCTTTTCTTTAAGATATACACATATATGTAGTCGAGAGCAAAGCTTGGGCTGAGAGCTGGAGGTGCAGTCATTTGTCCTTGGAGCATTTTTTTGAGGGAGGGGTGGGTGAGGCCCTTGCTCAAGGACCCAGTGGGCATGTGACTATTCTGTAGAAGATGGCATTCAAACCAGTGACCTTCTGATCACATGTATGGAGGCCTAACCCACGGGGCCATACATCACCTCTAGGTTAGATGCCCTACAGCTTCTTTTTGCTCTTTCCAACACCCGACAGGCTTTTGTGAGAAGGTTGTATTATGCTACACATGGTGCACGACAAAGCGACGAGGTGCACATCTCCTTCGCATCGCATATATTCCTGCACAAGCATTGCCGAAGTGAAATTATATAAACACAAAATTAAATGTTGCCCATTGGCATTTATTTATTTGTCAGAGGTGTTGGCCCAAAGCAATGCACAAGTAAAGCAGATAATACAGAACAGACATAGAGCTGTGGAGGAGCTAATATTTGTCATTCTTAAGACGTCATAGATAAGATAACCAGACTGTTCTGATTCTCACTAAGTGTATGGCCTGAACTTGTTTTTGTTTCCCCTAGCAGAATGCATCTGTCTGCTTCCTCATGGGTTTTTCCAGCATAGGATCAAATACAGTAGTTAGACGGCTGGGATCATTCAAGTGTCTCTATTATGTGCAAAGAACTTTCTTTCAAATGTTTTGGTGTTTCCTAAAACCCCATGCCCGTGCACACATAGTTCTGGAATTACCAATGACAACGTTTAAAGATTTCATCACAATGAACTATCCTCGGCTCACAGTCATTATGCTATGCGTCTCACTACCAGGAAGTACTCACCTCACTTGTCAAGGATCATATATCAAAATACAGCCATACTTCCTGCATGGGTTTTTCAAGACGGTGTAAATTCCATGTTTGCTCTCGTCTCGAGATGGACCAATCCCATCTTCCTAAAAATCCCTCCTCTGCTGAAAGAGTCTTAAAAGAGGGGATCTGCCCTACTGTTGTAAGAAGAAAATTCCCAGATTGAAGGATTATGTGCACTTGATACATAGGTCCATTTTTGCTCATAAAATAGTACTATATACATACCTGTAGGGTGATGTAATTGTAGTTCTAAAATAACTTTGTCTTTTTAAACAGATTTTCAACATGGAACATTTGTAATAGTTTACAATTGTTGATGCACCCTTTATAAGTTACCAGTGGACTGACGTGTAAAACCTCTGGCATCGCACACAAAGTGGTTATGGTACGGAATCGTAATCCTTTTCTTTTACTAATGTCATGAGTCTTGGAAAGTAATTAGTTAATACGCTGAGGATGATCAAAATATTTCAAGATAATCATAGTTTATTACACACATTATAATAAGTCACACGGAATAGAGAAAAGCAAGAGTGTGATTTTAAGTGTTACACAAAGTGTTAGCACTTATTTGCCATGAGATGGAGTTGTAGGCCTATGTATTGTACGAACAGATCAATCTTTCTGAGTAATTTTTCTTTCAGTTCTTATTGTGACTGGGATCTTTTTGATCAACCCAGTGTTTAGAGGAGGCTGTGGGCAGCAATGAAAGGAGGTTGCAAGAAAATGTTACCTTTGAAGATGTGACTGTAGGCATCAGTGCTGAGGCTATGGCTGACTTGCAGGCCCGTTCCAGCACATTAATGAATGTCGAAGTTTAGGTGCATATTGCATGGATGTATGTTTGATTTCAATATTGGTGGGGACCAAATCAGCCCCGAATCCCCTGGTACTCCCACAGTATCGGTAGGGATTTGTCCCTACTGTCCATCCCCAAATCTAAAGTCAGCTACAGTATCTTGAAGCTAAGCTGGCTTTAATGCTGAGATATTACTGAAGGGCCTGATCATCTGTATCAGGTATGTTAAATTAGGGCTGCACCTTAACTCCGCAGGGTGGATCATCTCCAGGGGCAGGGTTGGGCAAGCCTGGTCTAGACCAACACTGGGCTGTAGCACTCTGTCATTTATGTTGTATAGAATCAATGATTAGGGATGCTGTTTAAGGGGTATTAGCAAGACCGGATCCTCGCTATATGCAGTTTCTGGCAAAAACTAGATTTTCAGTCTCGATGACACCAAGTTTTTTTTCTTTCTTTTTTTCAGAGCCATCCAGGCACGGCTACTTGAATATTGGGGAGTCCCCAATGAAGGGGCTACGTGGGGTTCACTGGGTCACAATCCAGTGCCCATGCTCAGAAGGTTGCTGGTTGGAATCCCAGGGCACAAAATGTGATATCACTGTCTGGCCCCTGAGCAAGACCCTCAACCCAAACTGCTCTAGCGACTAGCTGATTCCGCTCACTGAATTGTATACTGCTTTAAGGAATAAAGGTAAATGTCAACTTTCACCCAGGATTATGTGATGGAACCTGTAGGCTGATTAAAAGCATAATCATCCTCAACGGCAAGTCTGGTTTGGGGTTATTAAACCATTGTGACTTAAGTGTTCTACGATTAGAAAAAAAGATTAGGTAAACTGATTCTGTTATCAAGAGTTACATTACATAAACTTTGATTGTTTTTTTCTTTTACTTTAAAGCCTGAGTCCTATTGTTTAGACAAGTCCGGGCTGTTTTGACTGGCCTGTGAGATCATTAAAAGTTTTATCTCCAAGTCCCATGAATAATCGCAAATATAGCTACTATTAACGTGCTAACAGCCAAAAAAATAGACTCTTGGAAAAAAAATCAGAAAAACTTATTCAGAATGGAGAGTTTTAAAAATTAATGGGGAAAAAATAAAGTCTTCATTTGTAGCTTTCATGGGACGTGAAAATAATCATTAAAAACTCCGCTGATACGGTACGTGAAGCTTAGACATAAATATTTGGGGACTATAGTTCAGCCTCCTGTTAACTTTATTGTGAAAGTGCGTTGCACGCTGGTAAAATATGACTAACACCAGTCCAAGGCAGTGCGGGGGAATTAAGACGCAGCGTTTGTGCCCCCCACTAATTTCCAAAGGTGCGTACAGAAGCAGCGCCCCCCTGAATGACGCTGCGTTGGCGTTGCCGTTATCGGCAGACGCGCACTTCCTGGAACCTACTGGTGAGGCAGCCGTTCTAATGCAGAAGTGGAAAACACCTAATTTGATCGATTTTTCTTTTTATACTGCACAAATCCACAAACGCCTTTTGAGGTTTGTTATAGGATCTTACCTTTGTATACTAATCTTGCATATCAAAGTAATTAAATGCCCATAAGTAGACTCTAATGCTATACAACTGCTAAATATTTTACGGTTTACTGTATAAAATAACACCGGCTTTCTATTTTTCACAGATGTAACCACTTCAGAGCAGAAAACCTGCCTACTCGCTGGCACACAGCAGTCAAGGGCCACACACACACTGTGACTGTTATAGTGTGAAGCAAAACGACGACCCCATTTGTCAGAAGAAATGTCAACAAAAATACTTTTTAAACTATAAAACACACAGAACTGATAGGCTAGCGACTGCATTCCGTTTCGATATTTATTAATAATACAAATTTTAAAAGTATTATAAAAAAGAAACATTTGTGAAGCTACGCATCATTTTAAAACGCTGTGCTACTGCAGGTTGGGTGGCAATTTAGCTTTATTTAGGAAATCATCCTATTGAGCTGTTGAAACTGAATACAAATACAGTACAGGCATGCACATACCTCATAGGCCGAACTTATTCAAAATGTATCACTTTTAATTATATTACTTTGTTATAACGTTATCGCAATTCATATTCACGGATAGGCCTTTCTATAGAAATTATATAAACACACCCAGGTTTGAACTTATATATTAGAAAAAGTTTGAAAAATATACTTTAAATATATAATTACCACAATTGTGGTTACAAACTGTGTACCTTATACAATAAAGGTAACATACCTTTCTTATATTACCATAATGCATCTCGATCGCCTAGGCTAAAACATATATATATATAGACAAATACATGCGTCAACAATAAATCAATAAATTAATATCACATAAAAAGCCATAAATACGAAATCAATTATTGCAACCAACTAAGCTGAACGTACAACAAAAGCATCCTGGGTAACTGATCAATTCGTGAGATACAGTGCGTGTCTTCTCAGCAGAACTTGGCTAGGAAGTCGAAAAGAATATCAATTTCCCCCATCGCTTTCGTCTGCGCCCTTTTCCCCATCTGAAAAAAAAGTAAATTAAATTAGATATGTTTTTGTTTCTAATAAATGAAGAGCATCGTTCTGAATTGCCTTTATGTTACAATAATGACCAATTCGGGGGATTAGCCTACCTTGTGGAAACTCTCCTTGAACTTATTGCTGTGTCCATGGTCATTCACATGCTTAATAGACTGAAATTGGGACGAAAGGAAATAAGCAACGTGAGTTTTCACAATCAGTATATCTTCAAAACCACTGAAAGTGTATTATCTTGATCTGTGGCAATCTAATACTTGTATCAAGGTTGCCGTTTGCAGCTGCAGATGCGAACCGAAATCGTGTCTAGCGCTGGAAGCTTCTGTTTCATTTGAAGGGAATTATTAATCTGAGCGCATCGCGCATTGGGGACGAATGCAGGTATCGGCAGCACTTACACAGCCTTTTACTGTCAGATCCCTGCTGATCCTGTCCAAGTCGGTTTTCACGGTGGCCAAGTCTGGGAATTTCTCCTCTGTATTGAGCACATTCCCAAGGTAGAAGTCGAGGATGTTGGCATGCAGGCAGCAAACGAACAAATCCTGGAAAAGATACATAAAAGTTATATGGGAATAAAAATGCACCTATTTACGGTAACATGACATTTTAAAATACTTAAATACATACCGTTTCATTTCGGTAATGCTTTTCGGACTGAATCAGTCGTGTTTCATGGTCATCATCCATCTCTTGCGCCTGTTGAAATAATACTAAAACTCATTATGCTTGTTGTAAAATTCATTATGCGTAGCTGATTTGCAGAATCTAAGTTCGGGAATCTGAATTAATGATTGCGCTTATAAATGCCACAAACCTGAAATGAGCTTAAGTAAGTTTACTTACGGTTTTCGCGATCTCCGATATGCGCTGGAAGGTGCTGTGGTTATCCAGAGGGGGGCTGCGATGCTCGCTTTTCTGTTTGCCTCGCGGATGACTAGGAGCGGAATCGCTCCTGCCGGCCAAGAGCATCACTGCAAGAACCACTATGTACTTCATCATTCAGATGTTCGTGGAACAAAATTATTGTATTTCTTACAAGGTAGCTTAAAGCCTTTTCAGTGTTAAAAATGCAATCGGTGATTGTAGTCAGTAAGAACTGTACTGCTGCCTTGAATTTTTCCTTATAACCTTCACCTGTCCGTGAACCTATTTATATTCTCCAAACCTGGCCCAGATCTCAACGTCATACATCCTTTTGAAGTCATCTCACTGAAGTTGCGCTGAAGCGCTTCTTGGTAAAGTAAAAGTGGTTTGGAGTTAGGTTTCAATTATTTAAATATTTAATAGATTGAACAGAATACCGTGATCACGCCAAGAAATACATTTCTTTTTCATGTCAAAAATTACGGTCGAAACAAAGAGGGTTTATCAAAATAGCTTGTACTGCAGAATAATGACAGATTATGTATCAATAACTTCTCCTTAGCTTGTTTGCATTTGAAATTAAATCTGAAATGCTAATTTATTGAAATGGATTGTAAGGTAGTAATTTACATGGAATATTTGTGAAGGTATAATAATTGTTATGTTAAACTTAGCAATTAAATTATTTTTACTAGGGTATTATGTATTTATACTTGGGGAAATTCACAAACGGGAAGTTCCACATACCTCTGGAATTGTTGTTTTAAGGATGAAACACAGGCTACTGAAAATTTTGTCACCGTTCCTAAATTTAAAGTTTCATGATGACGGCATCAGCTGTTCACGCATCGTTAATGCACATCCGATTTATTTATTTTCTCCTATCAAATCAGACATTCCTATGCATAAGTTTTAGATACACTAACTAATACTGGAAACACACAAACACTCGTTATTTATTCTGTCAAGTAATTACATCGGTAATGTCTAGCACGATTAGGCATTGCGATAATGCTCTATACAAAAATACATTTGTTGTATTCGTGTGCTGTTTGCTAATCAATTTTTTTTTTTTTTTTAAATACGCACTTCAATACACACTAGGGCATGTTACATCTGACCCGTGTGAAGTATTTTACTAAAAAGTAAATAAAAATGCATTTACAGTTTTAAAAAATGCATTTACAAGTCTTAAATATTCAAACTTTTCATTTCAGTCACTCCCACAAAAGAAAAAAAAATCGACAGTTAAAATCCCATTTATGAGCAAACGTTGATCCAAAATGCCGACAGTGGTCGAGTTTTCACTGCGATGCGTAAACCACGCCGCGCAGGCCTCCTGCAAAACTAGGTCTTCCCCCAGAACTCCTCTCTTCTCTTCTGGGCTCTGGCAAGGACCTGTGAAGCGAGCGTGCAGGACTCCGCGGACCTGGAGGAGATTTGGGACATCCGGTCGTCTGCGTTTTAAAGGGGAATGGGGGGGGGAATGGTCAGACTTATTCAATCTGAAGGGTCCTGCTTCTAACATTCACGTACTATAACACTTACAAGGTCACTGTTACTTTCTCTCCAAGCTGTGAACATAGAAGTAAAATGGGACAAGACTAAAAAAAAAAACCCTTTGATTACCATCTGTACTTCTACATGTGATTTTTGCAGAGATTATCTGGTTTCGCTACACCTGAAATTCCTTTCCGAGTTAAAATTGGAATACAAGTTGAATGATATGTGTCTTTTGTGTGTCCAACAGAAAGAGAGTGGTTATTACTGTTGTTCATCTAAAATTATGGACGTTGAGTTTGCATGCTTCCCACATTACATCTTCTCATAATTCAAAGGTAGACGGAGACTGAATCTGTCTTTTGTGTGTCTTGTGAAGGACTTAAATCCTCTCCAGCATTTAATAAACTGCATGTCCTAAGGTGTTGGTCTCAGATCACTCTGTCAATGGACATCTTTACCCTGAAAAACCAGGCGGTGGCCAAAGTTGGCTAGAGATCCTGCAACGATATTTACGATACCTCAGAGGGGGTAGCTTTGTAGTAATTGACACACTGATTTCAGTTCTGAACCTCCAAATAATATCATTCCACATTTGAGGTATACGTACTGCATCAATTTAATATCTACATTGACGTGGGTGGGGGCAGCACGGCGGTGCAGTGGTTAGTACTTTCACCTCACACCTCTGGTACTTGGGTTCAAGTCTGCATGTTCTCCCCATGTCATCATAGGGTTTCCTCCAGAAACATGCTGAGATTAATTGGAGTTACCAGATTGTCCATAGGCATGCATGGTGAGTGTACTCTGTGAGGTGTTGGCACCCCATCCTGGGTTAACTGCCTTATGCCCATAGGCTCTGGACCCCTCACACAGAAGATGGATGGATGGATGGATGGACATTGACAAAGAACTCATAGAAATGTTACTGAATGTACTTGGTTACAGAAATTCCCTGCTGTCAAGGATGTCATCGAAAATCCCTTTCAGAAAGTTTCCTTAAGTTGTCTGGCGCACTAGAGCACTGCTGAAGTGACGCTTGAAGACGCCACTGCCTGTTTGATGATGGCACGGCTCTGAGAACAGAGAAGCTTCTACACCAGCTGCAGTAGCTTGCACTGTCCCTGCTTTCAGATGACTATGATGTAAATGATTTTTCATTTTATTCATTCCTTATTTACTTTTGATGCTGCCTACTTACACGTAAACTGTTTTATTGCACTTTCAACTGAGCTTTAATCAGGGGCAAATCAGTCTTTTTGGGAGGAGGGCATTCAATTTCCACTTGAAAAAAAATCATCGGCATGTCTTACTATTCAGTAGAACAATGGTAGCTTGAATGGTACTATTGTAGGATGCCACCTTTGCAATAAGTAAGTTATGCTAGATAGTCCACAGTGAACTGTAAGCAGTATTATTGCAAAGTGGAAGCATTTAGGAACAACAGAAACTCAGCCACAAAGTGGCAGACCAGGTAAAGTAACAGAGCGGGGTCTCCGAGTGCTGAGGTGCATAGTGTGTACAAGTCGCCAGTGCTCTGTTGACTCAATAACTGCAGCATTCCAAACTGCCTCTACCATTAACCCCAGCACAAAACTGTATGCCAGGAGTCCTATAGACTAGGTTTCCACAGCCGAGCAGCTGCATGCGAACCTCACATCACCAAGTACAATGCCAAGCGTCAGATGGACTGGTGTTTGCCAGGAGAACATTAACTGTCTGACTGCCTTATGCCAACTGTACAGTTTGGTGGAGGGAAATAATGGTATGGGATTATTTTCAGGGGTTGGGCTAGACCCCTTAGTTCTAGTGAAGGAAACTCTTAATGCTTCAGCATACCAAGACATTTTGGACAATTCTATGCTTCCAACTTTGTGGGAACAGTTTGGGGAAGGCCCTTTTCTGTTCCAGCCTGACTGTGTCCCAGTGCACAAAGCAAGGTCTATAAAGACATGGTTGGGTGAGTTTAGTGTGAAAGAACTTGACTGGCCCACACAGAGACCTGACCTCAAACCCCATCAAACAACTTTGTGATGAACTAGAATGGAGATTGTGAGCCAGGCCTTCACTTCCAACATCAGTGCCTGACCTCACAAATACTCTTCTGGATGAATGGGCAAAAATTCCCACGGACACACTCCTTAAACCTATAAACTTGTGGAAAGCCTCCCCAGAAGAGTGGCTGCTGTTATAGCAGCAAATGGAAGACTTACTGTACTCCATATTGATGCCTATGGATTTAGAATTGGGTGTCATAAAGGTTCCTGTGGGTGTAATGGCCAGGTGTCCCAATACTTTTGTCCATACAGTGTATAACAGGAAAATGTAATTGTGAAAGAGATGGCCCAAAAACACGAAGTTTAACATGTTTACTTGTGACAAAGCTATTTTAGGCTGACATATCTTCCATGGATAATATTAGCTAGAATTACTAAGCAGGACAACACTGTGACAGTAGATTCAACATAACTGACTATCTACATAGCCTAATGCAGTATGGTTTCATACTTTAGACCTCAGCTATGGAAGCTCTTTCCTCACTAACAGAACATTAGTCACCGGATTTCAACAGACTTTGAAATCTATTCTCTCTTCTTTGACTGAGTCTGATGGATTGGCTGTGATTGGCTGGATGACCTTTCAATAAATCTAACTTGAGTTGTCAATAAAAAAGTGTGTGTGTGTGTGTGTGTGTGTGTGTGTGGGGTGGGGGAGTAGAATCACGTTTCAGTTAAAGTATAGGGATGTTACAACACCCCCATCCACCCCACCCCCTGTAACACCCATGACTTTAATGCAGCAGAATATGGGATATTATTATTATTGTAAATAATATTAATAATCTCCCCCATCTCAAAGGCTTCCTACAGGTAATCCTGCTGGTTTCCTGTCGAAGTCCATGCAGTCAGGCTAACTGGTGTCTCTACATTGCCTGTAATGTGTGCATGTGTCCAGTGAAAGGTTCTGGTCCCCAGTGACCCTGATGAGGATAACCAGTTGGAAGAAGGACGAAATAATGCATTAAAAGTACATATGTATATATTTATATTACAACAATCTAATAAAATCTATCAATAAGATATATTTAGGTAGTAGAAGTGTGTATAATGTTCTAAAGTAACCCATCTGTCCATCCATCCATACATTTTCCGTACCTATTTGTCCTATGCCATTTTAATAGTTTGTAAAGTATGCCAAGCAATTTCCAAATGCAAAATATAATTTTTCAAAATAGAAAATCTAAAATTTAAAGCAACAAAAATGGACTTAGAGATGCACATAAGCAACTGAGAACATTTTTTAAAAAATCAGGCTTCGCTGGAACCGCCCCCCCTCCTCCCCAGCAGCTAGATTGGCAACAAGCAGTCTTGTTGATTGACGAAATACCTCTCTTTGTTTGTGGGTAAGTCCCCGTAAAAAGCAGAAGTACTCAGTAATCCTAATGACATCGATTCATTGTGCTCTACCTGCCCAGCACTTTGGTTTGTTCTCCTGATAACACGACATGCTATTGAGTCCCTCTGATGTGGCTTGATATACTCTCTGAAGTCTGTACAACTAAGCCAAAGACTGACTGGTCTTACGGAAAATCACTGGGAAGAATTACTTATAGTAAATCAACTAGCAGAGCATACATTTATGTATATTTGAAAAGCTTACAGGGAAATTCCACCAAATTTAATAATTGCTTATGGTATTCTTGTATGTATACCTACAAAAAAGTATTTCCCTCACATTCCTTTGCCATCAAATAGACTAACCGTTAACTGGTGGTAAGAAATTTGACAGATTAAGCATAATGTAACAGCAAATAGGATAGCTGGTTTTTTAAAATGTACTCTATAAAAAAACTGAGAGAAACCTGAACCTAGAACAGGAAACATGTTTTATGTTTTTTATACAAGCAGGAAATAATGTGGTAAGTAAACCAAAGTGAGTTTATCATTTACATCACCCATCTTTACCTTTTGCATTCAATTAATTTTAACAGCAGGAATTTTTTTCCAGAGCAAAAGGCACCTGTATGTATGTAACCCTTCTTGTCAGTAGTCTGTTTATATCACAATACTTTACCATCAGAAGTGGTCGAGTCACTGGACGGGAAAAGAAATGGTTCCGGTCTTATTGTGCCTAAATTACCTGCAGAAACAAAAAAAAATGTCAATATGACAAGCAGTCAGCCTGTCTGACATATCTTTGTCTCTAGGAGTTAAATCAAAAACAGAGAGGAAGGGGAGCACTGTCTGGGACAGACCCCAATTTAGGACCTCCTTGGTGAGTAACCAGAGACACCAAAGACCGTACTGTAAGCAAAGGAGAATTCTGGCACTAAAACAGCTATTTATAATCGCAAACAAGCATTTCTCAATAATGAAGTTACTTTTCCCAAAACTCTTCACACAGTGAGCACAACAGAGGTCTATGTGGACTGAAGGTATCATATGTATTTATTATGACAACCTTTAAGATACAGTATGTGCATTTGTCAGTATCTTGTGTTACCACTTTAAAGCAGTACAGAATTTGATATGGGTATTACACATATCATGTGGTTACATATGTTGAATTTTGTTGTATCATGTGGTTGAATTTTTGATTGATCAAAACAGTTTATCACTACAGGTAATAAAGCTGTGAAAATGCATTAAAATGTATATAAAAAATGTTATTCACAGACTGCTTCTAACACGTCAACACAAACAGCGGCAAACTAACTGAGTTTTGGCAACAGTACAGCAAGTGAAATAAGCCAGAATACAAAACGGGTCAGAAATCAAAATATAGGAATATCTCATCTACTTGAGAAATCAGAGTGACTAATGAAAATTAACATTAAAGTTGATGGGAAAAAAATGGCCTTTTTATGAACCGCTCACTTTGAATTTTTTACTAAATTTTTGAACATTATACGAAAAAGGTTAACATTGAAGGAGGCTCTGGCAAGGTGCAATTTGGACATAAGGTGGCGGAGCTGGGCTCTGTCTATATTTAAACCCCGTTTGTCCCTTAACATGAACGTATACTTCAAACGACGTCCAGACAAAACTAAATCAAACACGTCAGTGAGAACAACCTGTCACACAACACCGTCACCTTGTTTGTTTTATGTCACACCACAGCCATGGAGGGTGTCAACCAATTGTGGACAGTGGGTAGGATCAGAAAAAACGAAAAGTTTATGTGCAGGGTTCCCGAAGCGAACCTCTCTCATTTGTTCTGATCTCACCCTCCGGTCACGATTGGCTGACATAAATGCGATGCCATGGAGTTGGTCAGCAGGACTAATTATGTAGTTACCACGTTCATTCCACCAGTTTTGATTTTTTTTAGCTATATGGCCACTTTTCCCACTTTAGTCCCACTTTAGGGCTTCTTTGGTGAGTAATCAGAGACACTAAAGACATACTGCAAGTAAAGGGGACTTCCAGCACTAAAACAGCTATTAACAATCGCAAACATAGTGAAATTACTTACTTCAAAACTCTTCACAAAGTGAGCACAACAGAGGTCTATGTGGTCTGAACTTTGTGTCATATCTGCAGGGTGGTGTGTCCCAGTGGGTTAGGATACTGGTCTTGTGATCGGAAGGTTGCTTGTTCAAATCCCAAGGCTTAACCCCCAATTACTCTAGGGGTCGTCTAACCCTGCTTTTTAAAAAAATGCGCATCACTTTGGATAAAACCATCTGTTAAATGACAATATTGAAATATTTTGTAAATACAAACACAGACACACACGTGCACTCACACGCACACACACACATATATATATATATATATATATACACACACACACACACACATACAGCCATGGAAAAAATGAAGAGACCTCTCTATGTTTTTAAACAAATCTGCATTTAACTTATCCGACAATTTCTCATGAAACGTATGATGACCTCAACTGACCTTCAAAAGGATTGGGAAACATTAAGCTCAGGCGTTAAGCGCACTGCTAGGACAGGATCGTATCAGGCTCCTACAAGCAGGACTGAAGTCCCATAAAGCAAGGAAGAAGCCCTTCATCAAGGAGAAATAAAGAAGAACCAGGCTGCAGTTTGCAAAAAGAAATATATTTTTCCCAGACGCACAACCATAAATTGAGAAATGAGTGAAACAAAAAATCGTACTGTGTGTGTGTGTGTGTGTGTGTATATACAGTAGCAGGGGAGTCAAACTGCAGTCCTGGAGGGCCAGAGCCCTGTGCATTTCTGGATTCCCCCTTATTTAACCCACCTGATTCCACTCCTTGCACGTCCTTGTGCTAATTACCACACAGCTCTTGAGCTGAATCATTTGTGGTGGAACAGGGAAAGAACTAAGCTACGCAGTTTATACGTCCCCATGTTGTCGCGGGTTTTCCTCCGGGCACTCCGGTTTCCCCCCACAGTCCAAAGACATGCTGAGGCTAATTGGAGTTACTAAATTGCCCATAGGTGTGCATGTGTGAGTGAGTGGTGTGTGAGTGTGCCCTGCGATGGGCTGGCCCCCCGTTATATTATATTATTATATATATATATAAACACAAACATATGATTTGTTGTTTTTTCCTCACAACGACTGTAATATTGATAAAAACAGATATTGCAACATTTCATTAATTCCTGTAATGTGTACTTTAGGACATTCCATAGAATGAAAAGATGTTAATCTATCTAAATATTGAGTTACACAAAAAATCAAACACACTTCAAAGACAAAATGATGCATCTTTTACTGTTCTGTGTTGTTAGTTTTTTAGGTCATTGTGTTATGTGTGACAGCATGCTTGTTGGGTTAGGACATTTGCCAGTGTTTGGTAGCGTGAGTTGATTCTGAGACACACATAATGTTTTGGTGGTTTCGGTGCATTTTGGGGGTGAAACTAACTGTTGGGCCAAGGTGCACTTTGGTAAAGCAAACTGCAAAGAGTTATGAAAAAGTGATTTCAGTATGGAGAAACGCTTGTTGGCGATTGCAAAAAAAATCTGTAATGTATATACACTGAGTGACTGTGTGGCATGCACTTTTTGTATGTGACCCATCTTTACCAGCGCAATGGCACCAGAAACGAACAAAGGAGTTTAGAAACCAGAAACAATTTGCATGACTTCCAGATGTCATGATGTAGGAATATTGTCGTACATAGAACATAAGAACATAAGAACTATACAAACGAGAGGAGGCCATTCGGCCCATCAAGCTTGCTTGGGGAGAACTTAACTAATAGCTCAGAGTTGTTAAAATCTTATCTAGCTCTGATGTAAAGGAACCCAAGGATTCAGCTTGCACTACGTTATCAGGAAGACTATTCCATACTCTGACTACACGCTGTGTAAAGAAGTGCTTCCTTAAATCCAGTTTGAAATGTTCTCCTGCTAATTTCCACCTATGGCCACGAGTTCTTGTATTTGAACTAATGCTGAAGTAACTATTCGGTTGAACAGCATCCAAACCTGTTAGAATCTTATAGACCTGGATCATGTCCCCCCTCAGTCTCCTTTGCTTGAGGCTGAACAGATTTAACTAACCTTTCCTCGTATGACATTCCTCTAAGACCAGGAATAATTCTTGTGGCCCTACGCTGCACCTTTTCTAAGGCCGCAAAAAAAGATATGGTGACCAAACCTGCACACAATATTCTAGGTGAGGTCTCACCAAGGAATTGTATAATCTTAGCATTACCTCCCTTGACTTAAACTCCACACACCTGGAGATATACCCCAACATCCTATTGGCCTTTTTTATTGCTTCCCTGCACTGACGAGAATGAGACATGGAAGCATCAACATACACACCAAGGTCTTTCTCATAATCAGCTACCTTTATTTCAGTAGGTCCCATAAAATACCTGTACTTTATATTTCGGCTCCCTACATGGAGTACCTTACATTTGTCTATGTCAAATTTCATCTGCCAGGTATCGGCCCAGTCACTAATTAAATCAAGATCCCGCTGTAGCTGCTGAGCCGCTAGTTCAGTATCTGCTACACCACCCACCTTGGTGTCATCTGCAAATTTCACCAGTTTACTGTATATATTGGTGTTTATATCATTTATGTATCCCTGGACACTATATCTGACAACAGGCTGTCATCCAAAATACAGATGATTTGCATAGATTTAATATACAGAATTCTGGCAGCATTGCTGTCTGAAGCCTCCATTCTGTGTATGAATAAATCACACTGTTCACTGTCTACAGAGAGCGGCAGGTTCTCGCCTTCTGGCTCCACGTTAAGGCTGATCGTCGTGTATCAGTGATGTCAGCACCTTCTCAACGTCCTGCAGCCGCTGCTACTGTCAGACTCCAAATCAAGGGTGTTCTACTGGGGGTCCGAGGAGTCATTTTGGGAAATGTAGGAAAAATGCATGGTTGATGCAGTTATGCATTCTAACCATGGAGTGAGAATATTCAAAGAAGATGGAGAGTAAAAATTACGACAGCCGCCCCCTAACCCAAGGCCTGACTTCTTAATGGAAGGGGGATCCGAGCTCTGATCTGCTTTCCTTTGGTGCTCCACCAGACCTTTCTCTGATGGTCTCATCTTTCACATGCCAACTGAAGGTATGCCATATAATGATTATAATAATTTCACATTCATTTCAGGGACAGTTTTACTGCTTCTGCTACTTTGCTACTGCACGCTCGTGTTGGTTGTCAAATTAGCTTTAATTAGTTAAAAGTGGAAAAACTCAAGATCAAATACTATCCACAAACGAAATGACAGCATTGACTTGATTCACACTAATAATGAAAGATGAATAAAGGCCACATTTACTGTGGGATGGGCAATATGCCCAGGAAATAGAGCATTTATAGTAAATCTTTTTCCACAACTCTTTTAACCTGAAGGTACACTAAACTTTAGAGTTTACTGATTTGCATACTCTAACAAAACAAAACAATCACAAGGCTGATTATATATTCACAGTTTGTAATAATAGCGACTGCCTTGAAAACTGATTCCTTCAGTTGCTAACCGCTCCGAATTCCTGCAAGGTGCAGAAGTGGGAATCACCATGTCTTTGGCCGGAACTTTCCACAGTACTTGGAGCCCAGAGGCCTGTACTACGAAGCGGAGTTACTGGCTTATCGGGGTAACTTGTCAGATTTAAGGTAGTCTGGGCAAAATGTAAGTGAACGAATATGAAGTCCATTTAAAATGTGGTACCTTAAATCCAACAAGTTACCCCAATAAGCCAGTAACCCCGTTTCGTAGTACAGGCCACAGCAGTCCGAACCCCGACTCCCGACCCCTTCCACCTAGCTAAGAGCACATGAGCCTGCGTGTGGGGTGAGGTCATCTTTCGCTCACAGGAAGTTACTTGGGCTTGGCAAGAAATTGCTGAGGAGGACGTACAGAGGGGAGACTGACCTACATATTGTGGTCTCACCCCACAGGTGGCGGAAACCCTGCCTCGCTATTCTCACACAAAAGGGAGTACGGTAAGTTCTTTGTAAATTCTCAGACTCTGGGTATTTTCCACACACACATGCTGGGCCTGTTCTGATATCACTAACATTACATTACAATTACTCTTCATTAAATTCAGCAGCAAAATATCCAAGGTCAGCCTTAGGGCAGCACCTTCTGAGAGGCTATGTACCCTTTGGAATGTTTATCAGTTTTTAGTGTTTATGCACAGCTGCGCTGAATTTAAAAAGTGTCTAATCACTCATTAACTTATTGACATACACTACTGGCCAAAATTGTGGAAACACCTAGCATTTTTGGCATTATGCTTTAAAAAGTACACAAATATTGGCAGTAATGTTTGTAAACAATCAAAGAATGTTTACAAATATCATACACTGGGGGGTATTCCATGAAGCAGGATTAAGGGAAAGTCTGACTTATTTCGACACGTCTGGCTCAGTTCCGTTCCATCAACGTGTCTTAAATGAATCCCCACTGAGTTACCATGGTAACTTAGGCGAGTAAACAAGTCTTCTCCGGACCAGGTTAACTATCTCGCTAAGTGTTGTCTCAAAGAACGTCCGACGTGTGAGAACAGATTCCCAAAAGATGGCTCCATCGGACAAAATTCCGATGTCATGTCATGTAATAAATATTTAAAAAGCCTATAAAAATCACGTCTCAGCATTCCAATTAATTCCAAAATAATTAAAATAAAAGTGTACCCATATTACAAAAGTAAAACGTGAAATGCAACCACTGAAACTTAAAAAAAAAATATATGAACAGGAAGATATTTTGTTTAGTCACTGTCTACTTTGAAAGTTTATTAGTAAAAAGCAAAGACAAGATACGGTTATTTGTGCAGAACATTTCACATGGATGTGATTGAAAGTATTTTATGGAGATCAAATAATACAGAATAACATTATACAGCAGGAATGACACGTGAACTTAACCCAGAAGGTTCCCCATTGGCTATGGGGATCGAACCAGGAACTTTCGCAGTGTAAGGTGACAGCATAAGTCGCTGTACCACCGTACTAAGCACGTGTAACATTTACATAACTTACGCATTTAGTCTATCTAAATTTCTGTGCCAAGCCAACTCCCTGGCTTTATTTATGGCCACAGTATTGCCTTTTTTAACAATGACATTTTTGTATTTTTCATATAGCTCCATCAGCAGTGACGGAAAAACCCCCCCACTCTCGTTTTACACACTTTCCGACTCATTTGATTGATGCAAGTCTGTCTTGTATGAGCCTTGATTAGTTAAAGCTGAACTGCGATAGTGGAACGACATGAGGCTAAGTTTAGAGCTGGCGCTAGTTTGAGTCTGACTTTTTCAGTAAATTCTGGCTTTCTTTAGCTACTTTCATGGAATACTCCCATGGAGAGTTAAATAAGTTACTGGAGTAACTGGAATAAAGTTGTGAAATCTCTCAAAATTGGAAGTGTTTCCACAATTTTGGCCAGTATTGTAGAAGGCCACATATCAATAAAGACTCAGAGTTCCTAAAAGCCATTCTCCAAATGTATAGTTCAATTTTCAATGGCACATAATATAGCTAGTATTTCAAATTGCGTACAAACTCTTATAAGTAGGATAATGTTTTTGACGAAAATTGCCTGCAGGTTATTTTCTCCATTATTAATTATTGTAAATGCAAATATTTCTACTTCTGTGTGCAATTATTCTGAAATGTGTTTTTGCTGTCTAGTTAAGTATATTAATTGGTTTTGTTGCAGTGTAAAAAACTTAATGATAGCTAGCGATCTAGAACCATTTAAACTGTAGCAGTTTACCTGCCATTACCCACACTGGAAACTGTGGATCGTGACTATTTCAGTGTCCGCACTGCTTACAGGTGTTGGTCGAAGGCCTACTGCTGGTGTACCTGGGCCACAATAGGTGTGACTGACACCACTTACCGTTATGCTGGAACTCTGGGTCCCTCAACTTTCCCTGAATCCGATTGGCTGGTACGGAAACAGCAGGACAGGCGGTAGCGCTGTGTTTCCGAGGCGACCTGGCGTGGTGCGGAGCACGCACAGGCCTGTCGGGTGGCGGGGCATCCACCGGCAAGATGTCCTCTCTCAAGGGGATGGGATCCTCCGTGCTCAGCCCGGCGACCTGGGCTTGGGTCTGGGCCCAGTCATCGTCAGCCTGAGCAACATAGTCCAAATGAGCGCTGGCTGCCTCTTAAGGATCATCCCCATTAGTCTAGGTGTTACCTATACTTCCAGCTAAGATTTCCAAATATAACCGATATGAGGATTTCATGCTAACTGTTTATCTTGTACTGGCATCCTGAAGCAGAACTGAAGAATTTTTACTACTAGCCATCTGAACTAGTTTCGTACAAAATGTAGTTCAGCATGCAATTATTTTTCACTAGCCAGCGGGCTAGTGTTCAGTTGTTTCTACTCGCTCTTCATCTAAATTACTGGCCTAGGGGGACTGGGCAAACTTAATTCCCAGCCCTGCAGGGGGTGCACTGCTTTTTGCTTTATGCTGCCTGGGATGGGCTCCAGGCCCCCGCAACCCTGACCAGGCCAGTCAGTTTGAAGATGGATGGATGGGTGTTTGCCTATAAGAAGGTCAACCCTGTAACCGCACTGTATCTTGGTATAATTTATAATCTTGCATGACAACTTAATTTGTTATGGAAACGGGGGGGGGGTTGTACCTTCCCAGGCTCCTGCGGTGCGGAGGTGTGGGACAGAGGTTTGAAGAGACTGTAGGTTTTCCCCAAAGGGGGGTCACACCTCCGGACACCTTGAAGGGAGCCCTTCAATGTCGGGGGGGAGACGAGAATTGCACCACCTGAAAAAGCCAACGCCAGAAATAACACCCAACAGCATTAATGATCCTGTTACATCCGTCCTGTATTGTGTGGCATCGTCCTGTTTTTTTTTAACCCATATGGAATGCGATCTCTCCTGTATTTTCAAGCCATGTAATCGATCCCCCCCAAACTAAGTAATGACTTGTTTATCCTCTATTGTTTTGGGGTGGTGGTGTAGTTTTGTGTGAAAGTTTAAACCAGATACATCTTTCTTGCTTGTTTAGCATGAAGATCACAGTTCCTGTTGTGCAGTGGGAAACAAACAAAAGCTACAAAAGGGACTCAGAAGCAGGAACCAGGTTTCAGAACCTTGGTGGGAAAGCACCTTTACGCTTCGTGCAGCATACAGCACCTTATTTGTAATAATCCTTGTAATTATCAATAAGACCTCCGGGAGAAAACTGCTCTGACTCACTGAAGCCTGCCTGAATAAAGAGTCTGGTAAAGGGCAAGTGCTGGAAAGAGGTCAGATGTAAAGAACCACTCATTTGTTTCCCGTGGTCGTTCATACTGAAAGCGGCAGCTGCGGTGAAGCCTTTGATTGCATTGCCTTGGTTCAACCCAACCTGCAGGCTGTACGACCCTTTGATTTAATCAGAAGTGGGTGACCCACCCGTTTCCAGAGCCAGATCTCACGGCCGGCCAGCCCTACTATGTGTGAGAGCCATGGCTTTCCCCCCCCTCCAACGGCTGGAACAGAATCCCACCTACAGAGCTGTGCGCGTGGGCCGACTGCTTCCCGAGGACAGGGGAGACTAAGCTTACGCATTATGTAACCGGCACGCCAGGCGTAGCTGCTCACTCACCCGTGGCGGGGGTGGTGAGGTCATGGTGCGTTCTCTGTGCCACAGCAGCATCCGCCAGTTTGGGCGTGGGCAGCCTGCCTTCTGGGACGGACCCCTCTGAGCTCGGCGACGGGGACAGGTATCGCCTCTCTGGCAATCTCAGGCTGGACCACAGAGGATCCGTGAAGATTAGAAGGCAAGCAATGCCTCGTAACAGCAGCTGAACCCCCCCCAACCCCCAGTTCGATCATGCTTTGCCCCACTGGGACACTAGCCTGTCCAACAGAACAGAGACGCAACGGGTGTAACCATAATTTGTGGCTGCTTTTTTGGCTTTGGCTGATTTCCTTCAAATTTGAGCCGGACTGGGGTTTTTTTGACTGACGCAGCCTCATTGTAGACGTTTGGATCAGATTTCTGATTTACATCAGTATTTAGTTACACTCCTGGTTCTGACCCCTCAAGGAAGTAAATAAAAATACACACTAAATGTCCCCGCAACCCTGAGAAGGAAAAGTGGTTCGAAGACGGATGGATTAATTGATGCACATACTGCTTGTTAGTGCCATTTCCTTCGTTGATCTTCACCTCCTCTTCTCTTTCCGGCTCACCCCCTTTCTCTGCCTCCCCCCCGGCTAGCCTCCTCCGTATCGGAAGGCCAGGATCCTCGGGCAGCGTGGTTTCTGTGGCGTCCATCTTGGAGCTCCTCCTGCTGGCTGGGGGTGTCGGTGCAGCCGCAGGGCAGATGCTGCCGTTCTCGCTGTCTGCCATACTGGGACGGGTGGGGACACAGCTCTGGCATTTAATGGATCCTATTTTGCACCAGCAGAAAGGGCAATGCAAAGTGGTTTTGCTATTTCATACCAGCACATTCCTCACTTTCATGCCAAACGTGCATGTTTTCAAAATCACAATCAGAATCAGAATCAGCTTTACTCGCCAAGTGTTCTGAGCCACACAAGGAATTTGGTTCCGGATGCTTGAGACTCCCTAGTACACAGACAATAAATGACACTATACAAACAATAAATTACACGATACAAGAAATCAAATTTGACATATACACACATGGGTAACCCACTGTACAAAATATAAGGTGCGAGGTTGAGTGCAAACAGAGTTTAAGGGGGGAAAATTGACAGAAGGCAGGTGACACAGCTTAGCTGTTTATGAGGGTGACGGCCTGAGGGAAGAAGCTGCTCCTATGTCTGGTGTTTTTTGTGTACAGGGTTCTGTAGCACCTGCCAGAGGGGAGGAGCTGGAAAAGATTGTGTCCAAGGTGTGACGGGTCTGCAATGATGTTCTCTGCCCATTTCCTAGTCTTTGAGTAGTACAAGTCCTGGATGTGCTCACAAATGATTCTGTGCTCATTTCCTGCTTGTAGAAGTGGTGTTTCTTAAATGAGGCGTGGCTGGGCGCATTGTCGGTGCATCGCTATTTTAAGGCAGTGAAAAGACATTGTGCTTTTGACTAACAAAAACCATATCTAAAGTCAGTGGTGCATTGTTAAACGGCGCTTGTTACGGACACAGGTACGCACTCGAAGTGCAGTAATGGTTTTTTGTTATTCTTTATTTTATTTTGTGGTCTATTGTTATTGTTTATTTTGTTTCATTTACAGTTGTGGCCAAAAGTTTACATACACTTGTAAAGAACATAATATCATGGCTCTCTTGAGTTTCCCGTTATTTCTACAACTCTGATTTTTCTCTGATAGAGTGATTGGAACAGATACTTCTTTGTCACAAAAAACATTCATGAAGTTTGGTTCTTTTATGACTTTATTATGGGTTAACAGAAAAAAGTGATCACATCTGCTGGGTCAAAAATATACATACAGCAACATGAATTAGCAATTTTGGTGACTTAGAAAGTCGTGTCAGTGAAATGAGCTTCATAGCATGGCCTCTTAACTTCTTGTGAGTGATTATGAGTGACTTCAGCTGGTGACTTCTCTGAGGCCACTTAAGTAGGGCTCATTGGATACAAAGGCCCACAAACGCTACAATGGGAAAGTCAAAGGAGCTCAGCATGGATCTGAAAAAGCGAATTATTGACTTGAACAAGTCAGGAAAGTCACTTGGAGCCATTTCAAAGCAGCTGCAGGTCCCAAGAGCAACAGTGCAAACAATTGTTTGTAAGTATAAAGTGCATGGCACTGTTTTGTCACTGCCACGATCCGGAAGAAAACGCAAGCTATCACCTGCTGCTGAGAGAAAATTGGTCAGGAGGGTGAAGAGTCAACTGAGAACCACCAAAAAGCAGATCTGCCAAGAATTAGAAGCTGCTGGAACACAGGTGTCATTGTCCACAGTCAAGTGTGTTTTGCATCTCCATGGACTGAGAGGCTGCCGTGCAAGAAGGAAGCCCTTGCTCCAAAAGCGGCACCTTAAGGCTCGACTGAAGCTTGCTGCTGATCACATGGACAAAGATAAGACCTTCTGGAGGAAGGTTCTGTGGTCAGACGAAACAAAAATCGAGCTTTTTGGCCACAATGCACAGCAATATGTTTGGAGGAGAAAAGGTGAGGCCTTTAACCTCAAGAACACCATGCCTACCATCAAGCACGGTGGGGGTAGTATTATGCTGTGGGGCTGTTTTGCTGCCAATGGAACTGGTGCTTTACAGAGAGTAAATTGGATAATGAAGAAGGAGGATTACCTTCAAATTCTTCAACATAACCTAAAATCATCAGCCCGAAGGTTTGGTCTTGGGCGCAGTTGGGTGTTCCAACAGGACAATGACCCCAAACACACATCAAAAGTGGTAAAGGAATGGCTAAATCAGGCTAGAATTAGGGTTTTAGAATGGCCTCCCCAAAGTCCTGACTTAAACCCCATTGAAAACATGTGGACAATGCTGAAGAAACAAGTCCATGTCAGAAAGCCATCAAATTTAACTGAACTGCACCAATTCTGTCAAGAGGAGTGGTCAAAGATTCAACCAGAAGTTTGCCAGAAGCTTGTGGATGGCTACCAAAAGCGCCTAATTGAAGTGAAAATGGCTAAGGGACATGTAACCAAATATTATCACTGCTGTATGTATATTTTTGACCCAGCAGATGTGATCACTTTTTTCTGTTAACCCATAATAAAGTCATAAAAGAACCAAACTCCATGAATGTTTTTTGTGACAAAGAAGTATCTGTTAGAATCACTCTATCAGAGAAAAATCAGAGTTGTAGAAATAACGGGAAACTCAAGAGAGCCATGATATTATGTTCTTTACAAGTGTATGTAAATTTTTGGCCACAACTGTATATGTTTTATTATAAAGTACAGCTGGTTCTTTCACGTAATCATACTGAAACATAAGATTATATATATATATAATACATTTAAATTTGTAATTTGTAAAGTAATAATACATTTAATTATAATAATATTGTTGTGCTGAGCGGGGACAGAATGGAGACAAAGGCGCAGACGTCAGGGTATCGGGGAATACGGGGTTTAATTACAGGCAAGGCAAGCAAAACGCAGACGGACAATACAATGACCGGACTGGGGAAACAAACTGAAACACGGACAAAATACACAGGACTAATGACAACAACCAGAAACAGCTGATCACACGGGGATTCCACACGGGGTTAACGAGGGGGCGTGGCACATGGAAGGAGCGGATGATCGGGGCAGGACACATTGTTCGGATACATTTATTTTCTTACTTTACAAATTACTGTTTCGTGCTTAGATGTGTTTAGTACAGTATATGCTCTTCTTGTTTTATCCGGTTCATTTTGTGTTTAAATGCTAAAAAAAACATATTTAGGTGTAATTTTTTTGGAGCCGGGAACCAATTAATTGGTTTTCCATTATTTCTTATGAGGAAAATTCAATCAGAACTCGAAAGTTTTAGGATTCGATCCGGAGTTCTGAACGGATTAAGTTAGAGTCCTGAGGTACCACTGTACTTGTGTGTATATATTATACATATTATATACCTTATATCATCAACTATGTGTTGATGATAGGCTATGTGACCAGTTGATAGACATGGTATTTAAACACACCAGGATGAGCAGCGATCTTCTGCTTTCCCCATCTTCTGACATCATTCTACCAATTTCGGCATGGACCGGATGATCTGCTGATGCCAGAAAACGAGGACACGCTCGCTGATACCTCATCCACCGCCTGCTTCCCCTCGAACAGTAGTGCTCCCGTAAATGTGCTCCTGTTTTAACCGCATACTCTTTCATAGTCACCTGCATGTTCAAAATTCCATCTCATCATTTTCTGATCATTTACTTCAAGCCATGACTCACTGACTAGCTGTACATGTTTGAATAGATGCATTGTGGCTGTTTTTGCATTAGCACGGTTTCTGTGATGTCATGGCAGCTGAAACCGTATATATACATCAATTACTTTGGCTACGGTATGAATATATGAATGCATTTCCGTAAAATAATTTCACAAGCTGAAGGCATTTAGCTAGACGTTCAGGAACAGATATGTACAATGTAAACAGACACATCCGTAATACTCCCCGCCAGTCCACTGCAGGCAGAGAAAGCGGGGCAAAACTCAAGAAATACAGAATTTGAAATGCACTATCCTCTCCTGTCTCTTACCTCGGCAAGTCAAGGCCAGTGACACTGCCATTCTGCTCCACAGCCACAGATGAGGTGACAGTGGAGGCCTCCCACAGCCCGTTCTGCTCAGACAGGATCTGGTTCAGGTGGTCTCGGGAGAAGTGGGTGCCCCTGGCCCTCCTTCTATAGGCCTCTGCCCTCTCCCGCAGCTCCCGCACCTGAGGACGCAGACGGGGTCTCCATGGAGAAGCCGGGCCTGCTGGCCAATCAGCAACAGCTACAGGGGTCAGGTGATATCTCCACCCAGCCAACTGGTACATCTGGGTTCAGGAGTGATTTGTTGTGTGTGTGATAGCAGAGGGTCAGAGGAAGATAGGACTAAGAGCCGGGCCCCCCCACTACTGAAAGCTTGTTAAAATGCATTTTAACGCAGAATGTTGCAATGATGCTGATGCAGAAAAGTGATGCTGTGCAGCCCATGTTACCTCGTCGTACCACATGAGATCATGGTCAGTGTCACAGCCCTGCAAGAACGAAGGGCAGAGACTCGACGTTAAAGGTGAGCTTGACTTTGCATGGTGGAACAGCACTGAACAACCTTCCTAAGACACTGCAGAGTCTCATTATCATGGCGGTAAGTGCATTCTGCATTCAACGTCCATTTGCTCATGGACGTTGGGATCATTTCCCATACTGTCAGAGCAACAAAGCATGTAAGGCTGAGACTCAAACTCACAATATTCCAGATGTCATGCAAAACAAAACGTCACTGTCCTTTAACTAAACCTTTTCTTACTGACTGACAGTAATGCTTTTATGACCACTGTTCCAATGTCCCCCACCCCAATCACCCTGTCCCACCTCCTCTCCAGTTGCAGAGGCTTTGATCCAAACTCCATCCTTATACCTGTAGAGCTGAGGGGAGCGGAAATTTGAGATATACTCAGATTTCACCTTCCTGTGGAAACACAAAAACCCCATGACCTAAGTCTAACCAGACAATTTCTGTCCAGTAACTAGTTATGCGAGAGGAGTCACGGTGATCCAGATCTTGGAGAGCAGGCAACACAGGGTGGGGTCACAAGGCGAGGTCAATGGCCCCAAACATGTATTTCCTCATTTCTATAATAACAGCAATTTAAAGCCTTAAAGATTTAAAGTTTAGATGGCGGTAGGAGGAAATACTGCACAGACCAGCCAGGAGGCCAGATTTTACGCAGACTCTGTACATACCATTTCAATAACACACAAATTACTGAACGCACTCAACTAAGAAAAGACTAGATCAACAATGACCCTACTCATAAGGGATGTTAGTCTCCTTGTTACTATTATGTCATACTGTTAAATGAGTAATGGAAGACCCACTTCTCAGTGAAGCAATACTGAGATTTATACTGACAGCGTTAACTGGCAGAGATTGTTATGATGACAGTGAAAAGAAGGCTGGAGAACTGCATTCCACGCACATACCAAGTTTATGTGTGCACGTGTGCGTGCTTGTGCAACAGATACAAATAGGAGTGTGGCATGACGGAAAATTTCACTTGGCACGCCCCCCAGAGCAGCCACTCACCGGTATCCAGAGTGAGGGGTGGAGTGCTGATGGCGTTTTGATGACCTCACTTCCTGTGGCCTCCTCTCCCCCGCAGGTTTAGCAGACCCGTTCTGCTGATGGGGTTTCCTGTAGCACTGTCCCCGTTTGACCTTCCTCTTGCCCTGTGATGGAGTTGGTCAACTTTGGGGCTACATGGGATGTCATTATACTGCAGCCACTGCAATTGCGGGGTTTTTATGTTCAAAAGCATATGACAAGACATTCATCCGGTCTATCCGGTTTAAGGAACATGTGCCGTCGCATGCCAGGACGCATCAGTCAAGGGAATTGAAGATAACGAAGGGATATGGACAGAACTACCCATGTGCCCAGAAATGCAACAGAGTGCCTGAATATCACCACAGACATTTATACAAAAAACTGGCAGTAACCTAAAAATATATACCGGTATACTGTGTAAATATTATACAGTCACTGGCCACTTTATTAGGTACACCTTGCTAGTGCCGGGTTGGACCCCATTTTGCCTTCAGAACTGTCTTAATTCTTTGTGACATAGATTCAAGAAAGTGCATGAAACATTCCTCAGAGACTGTGGAGGCCATATGAGTGTAGTGAACTCATTGTCATGTTCAAGAAACCAGTCTGAAATTAAATAAGCTTTGTGACCTGGTGCATTATCCTGCTGGAAGTAGCCATTAGAAGCTGGGTACACTGTGGTCATAAAGGGATGGACATGGTCAGCAACAACACTCAGGTAGGCTGTGACATTTAAACAATGCTCATTTGGTGCTAACAGGCCCAAAGTGTGCCAAGAAGATATTCCTCACATTACACCACCAACACCAGCCTGCATTGTTCATGGTAGGATGGAGCCATACTTTCATGATGTTTATACCAAATTCTGATCTTTCCATTTGAATTCTGCAGTAAAATCCGAGACTCATCTGACCAGAAACATTTTTACAATCTTCCACTGTCCAGTTTTGGTCAGCCGGTGTCCACTGTGACCTCACTTTTCTATTCTTAACTGACAAGAGTGGCACCCGGTGTGATCTTCTGCTACTGTAGCCCATCTGCTCCAAGGTTGTGCGTTCTGAGATGCTCTTCTGCATAGCTTAGTTGTAACAAGTGGCTATTTGAGTTACTATTGCCTTTCTATCAGCTTCAACCAGTCTGGCCATTCGTTTCTGACCTCTGCTGGACAAGGCACTTTCGCCCAGAGAACCACTGCTCACTGGATTTTTTTTTCTTTTTCGGCCCACTCACCGTAAACCCTAGGGATGGTTGTATGTGGAAATCCCAGTAGATTAGGAGTTTCTGAAATACTCATACCAGCCTATCTGGCACCAACAACCATGCTGTGTTCAAAAACACTGAAATCACCTTTCCTCCCTATTTTGGCATTTGATGTGAAGATGATTTTACACATTGTGGTACTGACAATGACCGATTAGATATTTGATTTAATGAGCAGTTGAAAGAGATAAGTGAGTGTACAGTACTTACAGAAAGTTTTGGGACAGTTGCTTAATTCTATAAAATGTTGCAAATTTACTGGATTCATAACAAAAGTCCATTGACAAGCAATGTTTAACGTATCTGCACATACCTTCACACAGTTCGTTTTATTAAGTGCCATGACTTTTTTTTTGATTGACTTGTTCACTTTTGTTCTTGCCATTTTGCTATTAATTGCAATTTTAGTCATTGGCTCCCAAATGGATACTAAACACAAATGTTTGGTGCTTTATTTTATCGCAAAGGTGTTACTAATTAAAAAGCACCCAGTGAGACTATTTGTTAATGAACTTTTTAGCTCAGAACAGCTCTTCTAAAAGAATAATTTGGGTTTCAGTTTATTACTACTTGAAATTAATGTTTTACTCAATACTACCATTTTTTCTATTGTGTAAAAATTTATAAAGTAACATTTTTTTTTTGTTTTTAAAACCAATAAAATAGCATTTGTTTACTGTAATAAGCATCCCAAGACTTTCTGTGAGGTATATTATATATAACCCATAAAATGGTAAAGTACAGCAAATTAGAATTTATGAGAATAGTATTGTAATTAAATGTTTTGTGTAAGTGAGGATGTAGAACATGCCTGTATCCTTCCTGATTTTTCCTCAGAGCTGTGAGCGATGCCAGTATTCAAGTTACAGAGGGAAGGTTCGGATACCTTAGCGCCCCTGTCAGGGCAAACGTTCTCCTGCTGCAGCGGCACCCCCTCTCTCCCATCCAGTTCCCGGCGTAGCCGTGGACCTCGGGGGGGCTGGGCCCCTTTGAAGTTCTTCCTGTACTCGCTCTCCATGACCAGGGGGTTGGTCTTAAATGGCGGGATCATTCTGTCGCTGCTGTAGACCATCTAACAGGAAGGGGACAGTGTTAGGATCTTACAGGGATCATGGGAAATATTCAAATGGACATACAAAACGTGAAATCTAGCGACGTGTCTGAGAGGCCAAATTCCTTCTAAATCTGTGAGCATGTATGAAGAAAACTCTATTACGCTTCATCCTGAAGGGTTTCCAGGAGAATTGTAATAAAACACCTTGGCAGCTTAATCCATATGTAACTCACAGGCGCCACCTGCAGGCTGCCAGGTCAGTGAGGATAATCAGCTCTTGACCGTAAGTGAGAGCCTTACAATACTGCTGCGATGATCTACCTCTGCGGAGCTGCGTCAGTCCAGGGCTTCCGCACAGTGCAAGCCCATCCAGGAAGCACAGTACCTGCTCGGCAGCCAGCAGGGGGGAGCTGCATGTGGCCATCTTCCCGGTGAACTGCCGCTGGTACTCCGACGCCCGGTGCCCAGGTCTCCGCTCAGGAGCCCTAAGGGCCGCCTTTCGCATCAGTGCACGTTGGATCTGAGGTGGGCAGAATGACATTATAATGAAAGTGAGTGCATCACCGTTGGGGGTGTGAAACCCACCCTTCACTGTGTGTGGGTTATGTTCCCCTCATATTCTGCAGGTTTTCTATACATGCTCTTGTTCCCTCCCACGGTACAAAGACATGCAGTTAGGCTGAGTGCAATCTGTAAAATAGACATTGCTTGCATGCTGTGCTGTGATAATTCATGTTACAGGGAAGAGGACCACATATCCGGTACTTCAAAGAGCTTCCCCTTTAGAAAGTAAAAAATGTAATTTCCATTAAAGTAATAAATACATAAAAACAAGAATGACTGCTAAATCTCATATATAATACAATCCAACACAGATCTGTTAAGTTTTCTGAGAATTTTTTGGAAAATGCACGGCGTACATATTGACATTTTCACCAAAGTTATAGAAAGAGAGGTTAGAAGCGCGTGCTGATTACAGCGCATCGCCGCACCCCCCACACAACGAACCACCTCAGGGATGAGAACCCAAGCCCAGTAGGTGATACCTCAACACCACGCTAGTTTTAAGGGAATGGGACAGTGTGAAGTTATTCTCCAGTGCCCAGAGTGCCAATCCTGCCACCAACCCCCAAATTTTTCCCAGGATGTTGGAGGACCTTCTTGCAGGGCTGGATGTAGGTTAACATCGTACCCAGGATAAAGAAACTGCAGGTTAAGGGCCTTGTCCAAGGGCCCAATGGAGTAGGATCACTCCTGGCATTGGTGGGATTCAAACCGGCAACCTTCTGTTTGCGAGCACAAAGTTAAAAGTCAGAAAGTTAAAGCACAACCTATTTTTGCCTGCAAAGGTTGTTTTTTTTTTTACTTTCAGGAAAAGGTGGTGAGTAGCACTGATGTCTACGTGTTGATTATTGCCTGTTATAGTCTACAAGAAGGAATTCAAGTAACAATTTCATTGTACTTTGCACCAGTATACTGTACATAACACAATAAACCTTTGAGCCTTGAATCTATCACACCTCCAGCACTAGGGCTTCAAATCCCGCCTCTAACTTGTGTGTCTGGAGTTTGCAAGGCCTCTCTGGGTGGTTCGTTTCCTCCAGGTTCTTTAGTTTCCTCCCACAGTCCAAAAGCATGCAGTGAGGTGAAATGATGTCTGTAAATTGCCCTTAGTGAGTGTGACCTGCAGTGCACTGGCATCTCATCCAGGCTGCTCCCCAGCCTCCGCTACAAGCAGATATGCGATGCTTGCAGTGTGTTGTGTTACAGGGGTCCCAAAATGGGGAAATCCCTAGATTTCCACAGTACAGTATGTTACTAAAACCCCCACCCCCACAAAATGGGAGTCATGAGTTCCTGTTATTTTGGGGGTCATATGCTGAAAAGTTTGGGAAACCATGTTTTATTTGATGGTCATCTGCATGGAATCTGGGAAAATGATGCCTTGTGGAAGTCATTATTATGATTATTATATGTGTTTAATCCCAGTGCTACTAAGCAGAGAGAAGAGGCTGATGTGTGACACTCACTCCATTCAGCGCCAGCTCTGCCTTATCCACTGTGACTGGGGGCCCGTTTGCCTGTCTTCTTCCCTCAGGTTCTGGAGGAGAGGGCTCAGCACACTGGTCTTCAGGGGGCTTAGGGCCCCTGGGAGCGAGAGGGGTCTCGGGCCCCTGAGAGCTGCATGGTTTCTCCACAGGGGGGTCTGCAAAGCTGGACTTGGGTCTGCAGACCTCCCGAGTCCGAGGCTCCCCCCGTGGGTCCACAGGCTCCTCCCACTGCAGAGATTTGGGTACTTGGGGTCCGTAGAAGGGAACCGTCTTCTTGGAGAGGAACTGGGGCTCCCTGGTGATCCCTACCAGCGTGAAAAAGACACTGCCACAACCAATACGAGACAATACGAGACAATACGAGGGGGGGTTACTCATACTTACCGGAACGGTCTGAGCGCAGGCCGGCCTGCCGCATCTCGAGCTGCTGAGAGACGCTTCGGCGCTTCACACGCTGACCCTTGAATCTGCTCTGGTACTCGCTGACCCCCTGTGCAAGTCAAGCAACAGTTACGGCTCCTGCAATTTTCTTTCTAGTTTAGCAACTGCGGTACAGATTTTGCAAGGACTTTCCCACGTTTTATTTCTTATCTCAGTTTTTTTATTGAAAGAGATGTAATCACTAACTGATAAACAATAAAATTCAGTTAAAGCAGAAACCACGGCGTAACTTAAAAGCAGTCAATTACAGAGAAGACTACGCTTAACCACGCTGCTACCGTCGTAAATATAAAACGTGCAATCAAATGAATCCAAATAAGTTATGAAAATATAGTTTATATGATCTTAAGTGACAACTTTATAGAAATTGAACTTGACAATGGGGCAGCGTGCACAATTAAAGATACTTTGGCAAACCAGCAGTTAGAGGAACGTGCAAAACATAAATCTCTTTAATCACTGCCTAACACGGATAATATCGCATTGTTCGGCTGCATTAGCGGTCTCAAGTTTGACTAGTTTATGCATGTCCTAGTTTCGCTGTACTTTTAATACCACAATAGCAGCTACAATCAGATAATAGACCGCCTTAGTATGTCGATACGTCACGAAATGAAAAAAAAAACTACCTCAGATGTTTATCTAAACATCCATTCCGTTGATTTAACCACGTTTTCTTCAAATTTTACGTGCAAAATAGAACGACTGAATCCATTTCTGGTTCAAATGCATCAGCCGCCAAATCGAAAGCTTTTCTGCACACGGAAACAGTGACGTTGCGAGCATGTGCCTGGTCCAAAATACTGATTTTCAACGGAAGACGGGAGTGTACTACTGCATGTAAGCACAGACGTTTACCTTAAAGTGAACTTTCATTTTAATTCAAGGGCAACGCAGAAGGCTGTAGAAGTGACGACGAAAGTTGTTATTGTTAATATCACGGTTTAATGAGCTCCCAGCGCTTCGGTTACAGTAACGCGTTGCCTTGGTAAAGGTTGTAGCGTCCTTCGTTGTGCGCATGCGCAAAGATGACGTACTACTTCCTATATATCTAGACAAAGCGCTCCACCTACTGGACATACGCTGGACTGTAATTTGTAGTTTGTGTCGTGTCAGCAATAAGTAGTATTAAGCGTCTTGCCTTCTTAACCTGAATGACCGAACGATCAATGGACTTCTCGCCAAACAATGACAAAAAAGCATGTCATTGCATGCGGCTTGAGAATTGCTGTACCGTATGGTGATCGTATACTGGATATACGATTGGAAAATTAATTCATAATAATTTAATTGCTTAAAGCCAATATTAATTGACATTTAAATTATTTTACGATGTCAAATAGATTAGATGTTCACAATTAAATTTTTATATAAATGTTTATTTAAGTTTATTAAGTTTGCTATATCCATGCATATGCACTGAGAACAATAATGCACTGCTAAAATGATTTTTAAAAATTGTATCCGAATTTATATAGTAGCACTATTAAACTGGACATGAAAAAGATATGTGCATCTGTAAAAGGGGCAGCCGCAGAACTAAACGTGTCTGTTCTAACTTCTTGAAAATGACATTGTACATCTACCATATATAGAAGCTTTGCCATCTACGGCAGCTTTAGGGTGCTTAGCGTTAATGTTTATTGGTTCCATATATGGAAAAGTATGCCTGTTCTTAGTATCAGCCTGCAGAGGTCACCGATGGAGCTTCGAAGCAAATGTTCAGAACTGGCATTAAGCTAGAGAAAGCCTTGCGTTATGGACACGTATGAAAGTCAGAAAGGGTTTTAAAGCGAAATCCGTTTTTAGTGTCCCGCCGATTCATGGATGCCCCCTGCCTGTCTATGGCAGCTTACTCCGGTATTTCCCTGAAAATTTAACCTTAGCAGCAGAGGAGACACCCTGCTCACGTGGCATCCGACTCATCGACGGTTTTAATAGTCCACGTGTGCAGGGGTGAAAGGAGTGACCGTGGGGCTGGGTGGGGTGCGGAGTTACTGTCTGCCTGCCCTGCGTGTAAGTTGACTTAGCTCGCTGCCCCGTTGCTGCCATATAACTCAACACAGATAGACTGGCTGAATGCTGCCTGTGCTCACACTCGTTAAATAGTTAAATAGCCTCTTGCCTACCAAGACACGAATAGGGAGGTCCCGTGTTTTTAAATAGCTCAGTCGTGACGCTTTGCACTCCTGCCCGTTAATGTATATGGAATAAGTTTTCTTCATAATGACTGTTAGTCATCTATGACTCTTAGGAACGGGCACTGGAAGACCTGTAACAGTAACTGGTAGCATAATCATTTGAAGGATTTATTTATTGACCCAGTTTCCATCTTGTACATGACCGTTTACTTAAAAGCCCCTCGCTTTCCCTTCATGTATGAATACAGAGCTGTACAAAAGCGGTATGTGTGTGTGGGGGGGTTGGGGGGGTGTAGTCGCACCGTGCGTTCGTGTTGATACACCCAATGGCATAACTTTGGGTTGAGCACTGGGGGGATTGAGGTCTCCACTCATTTAAGAGTCCAGGGGGTTGTATTTGCTGGTTTTGATTTATTTTTATTTTTTTTTGGGGGGGGGGGGGGGATTACACCCCCCCGTCCTGCCATCATTTACGCCCATTGATACACCCTCCCTGTTTCCGTTAATTTTTCCGGTATAATGAATGTCAACAATATCCGTTCAGGTATATTGTCCTTTAATTCGTGTTTCCCTTTGTGTTTATTGGCCTCTTATTCTGTACACTTCGTGCCATGCTCTTCTCTTCATCCAGTAGTGGTTTTTCTTTAGAGAATAAAGCTTCACCTTTCATTGCGTACCACTATGATATTTTTACATCTTTACAAAACTTAAATCACTTTTGAAAATTCTCGTATTTTAGATTGGATTGCGAACAAAATATGAACGTGTTCAATAAGGCGGATGTTAATACTTGGAGTGGAAAGACTACCTTGTTTCTTCCATTGATTGTATTAAAAACGTCTTCCAATAGGGGGCAACAAACCCCATGAATAATACCACTGTACAATGCTCCTGGATTACTAATAATGCCCACAAATAAATAAAGTAAAGGAGAAAATTTATGCTTCCTCCAACTATTACAATATCCACTCTTTTCGGATCATCTTTCCATATAGACATGTTATTAATTACATTTTATTTGTTAGCTCATTTTCACAATATTACAATGTCTCAAGGCGCTTTACATCAATCATGTACATTTTCATTAGTTCACTGCATCAAACAATATCAGTGATATGGGTCTTTGCAACCATCACAGAGGATCTGGAGGGATGTAATTTAAGAAGAGAATCTATGTTCATTAGAGATCACACACGGATGTGTTATCGTTCTCACTGTTTAATCAATGGATATATTATAAATGCCAGCAGCGTGGTAGGTGGGATCACGTGCTGTCAATCAGCCATTTTTTTTAATCTTACTGGGTCGCATTTGGGTTTGAAGCAGCGCCCTCGCCCACCCACTGTTTGTAAGTGCTCTCTGTCTGCAGATTTTTTTTCCCTATCATTGCGCACTTAATTATTTTTCACTTATTTCACTGAAGACAATACAAGCTTCATAGTCATTCTATACGAAACTTTCATCTCACGATATGAAAATCAGTAGATATTTAATGGGATTTATTTTGAAGGCCATGGGCAAATTATTTTTTCAAAGGTGGATTTACCATTTAATTAGAAAATAAATGTCTGGGCAAAATATGGCTTGGGGGTTTGAATCTAGCTTGTACTCTGTGTGTGTGTGTGTGTGTGTGTGTGTGTGTGTGTGTGTATCTCACGTGTTACTCCTCTGTCCTGTGAGTTTCCTCCAGGCACCGATTTCTTCTCACAGTCAAAGGACATGCAATTAGGCTAATTGGGTTATATAAATTGCCTGTAATGTGTAACTGGACTGGAAGTGTGTGTGTGTGTGTGTGTGTGTGTGTGTGCGTGTGTGCATTCTGTAACTAGCTGGCATCCCACCCAGGGAATACCTTTGAATTGTGCTCCATCCTGCCTTGGACGGGCACCAACCCCCCCCCCCCCCCCAAGACCTTTACCTGAATGAGCATTTGGGTGATGGATGGATGAATTCATTTTGTTTGAGAAGGACCTTAAAACACATTCTCATGCACAGGGGGTCAGTCTCGTAATACTATCTTTATGAGAGTATTACGTTTTTTGCAATATTCCCATAATGATAAGATCAGACCAGCCACTGCATGAACAAGTAAACTAAAACTCAACAAAACACCATTGATAAGGTGACACTCTGTGAACTTGGGAAGTATAAACGTCACCGACAATGGTTCGATTACAAGGGGCTGACTATGAAACATTGTAGTACAATGTGATCCTATAATTCTGTAATTCAGGTTATATGATAAGAGCTGTAAAAAGGAAAATCTTCGGTAAGTTCAGTTGATCTTAACAAGTCACATAGACTAAATAGTACTGTTTATTTGCTTGTTTGTTTGTTTATCTGTCATCCATCTTATGTTTGCTTATGCTGTACTGTCACAAGACAATTAATTTTAATTAGATTTTGAAATATGACTGTAATTTGAATAAAAGAAAATAAAAAACAAGTTGATTTTCAGTGATATTATAAATAATGATTTTATGATCTATAGCGTGGCATTGCCTGTCTTGTCCTGTGACCCATAGCACAGGGGTATTCCCACACACAGAGCCATGTGAATATTGTTTTTTCACTGTGACGGCATAAGTCCCCCAGCCCCATAGCGTGATTTATGGCCTCCTGTCACGCACTCTGTCCGGCTGCCCCAAGTGGAGCAGCCCTGTGCACAGCCTCATCCATCTTTCACCGTAAACAAGGAAAACTGAGTTACTTCTGTCCCTGCGCACTCTGGGAATTTGCCACACTTTTCTGGGCTTTTGGATCCTTCAGTTTGGATGTAGGATGGCAGGCTGAGTTTGCCTGCCGGTGAATCACACAGGTGACACACTCTCACTGTGGCAGAGGGGTCGGTAGGACTGGAGCCATGGCATCACTGGGGGGGGTGGCACTCACTGATGACAATGGAGATGGTGTGTGGGTGGCGGGGGTCCGTGCCAGGCTTGTGCATAGGGTGCAGCTGGCTGTGGTAACGGGGCACCCCAGGACACAGCATCCTGTGGGGGGAGGGGGGGGTGACCTCAGAGTCATGTGGAGCAGCACGTCATCCCATTGCCCCCGCCAACCCACCTGTGCCATCCTGGCACATATGCGGGCATGTGAATACTGGAATTCTGGGAATACTGGGAACCTGTGCTTTTCCAGTTCCCCGTTGAATTTTTTCACAGTGAATGAGAATATGCTGCTGATAAACTGAGGATGACCCTAATATCCAGTACAGTCATTTTATTAAGAATGCCCCCTCCCCCCCGCCATAGAACAGTTTACCCGATGATTCAAATCTGTTCGCAAAATTAAAGAAAAAAATCAATTTCTTTTTAAGCTTGTCCAATCTAAAATCACATTTAAAAAACACAGAAGAGCCCATAATGAACCATTCAAACACCCTCAAAATCTCTCCATGAACACCACGGATGGAAACAGAAATTCTTTTTAAAAAACAGATGGAAATGACAATTAATTGAGCATTCACTCCAGGCCGTCAGAAAACATGCAAATACATCCATGTGAAGAGAAGCGAACCGTTGACGGGCGACGCACCCGTCTTTGTGACACGGTGGTTTGATCCGCCAGGGAAAGCAGCTTCATGGAGATCACGCCGGGCTGACCTTTTGCAGGGGGCCGGGGGGAGACAGAGGTGTCCTCCGGAGGCTCCTTTATGGTCTCCCTGCATCTGCTCCATGTTAGCGGAAGCCGCTTTCAAGTAGGCCTCGCCCACTTCTGTTCTGTCGAGCCGCTATGTTTTATTCATCTGTCTCGCCCTGTTCGGCTGCGACTGATTACCATCCCAATTAAAGGCGCGCAATTATCCCGAGAGTGCCGCATTGACGCCGGGCCGCTCGCTGGGCGCGCTTCTT